AAAAAAACATGAAAATTTTTCAAAATTTCCTAATTAAACAGCGATTATGAAAACGCACAAGGACCCTTAAGGATAACTGTTTGCACAACAGTGGGCGTCAAAATGCTGCTGATGATGATTTACCTTTACAGCAATGCTCAAACTATTTTACACGCTCGACATCTTCTTAAAAAAGATCGGGTTATTAAACGAGCGAATCCACGGTTATTAACAAACTCAGCTGCTTCCAATAGTCTTTGCCTTAGCTCAGCTACATTTTCAATCGGCTTGAAATACAATTTTTCTTTTACAGTTCCCCAGTAAAAAAATCTAAAGGATTCAAATCAGGTGATCGGGCTGGCCACGGTATTGTACCAGACCGCCTTATCCATCTGCCTGGAAAGTTTTGATCGAGATACTCTCTCACTGAGAGTGCATAGTGCGCTGGGCAGCCATCATGCTGAAACCACATGTCCCTGTAAATACTCAGTGGCACGTCCACCAATAAATTTTGTACATGATTTTTCAAAAAATCCAAATAAACTTCAGCAGTCAAAGTCTCTGGGAACTCAAGCGGACCGATTATTTTACCATTTAAAATTCATGTCCAATGGTTTATCTTGAAGCGATATTGAGATTTATCTTCTCTCATCAAATGTGGGTTTGCTACGTGCCACTCGTGTAAGTTATGCAGGTTCATGTACTCATCTTTCTTAAATGTGGTCTCATCCGACCATAAAATTTTTTCAAAGAACTGTGGATCTTTCCTGTGTCTTTCTAACATTGTGCGACAAAAAGCAACACGGTGCTCATAATCCCGGGGCAGGAGAGGTTGAACACGCTGTATGTGGTATGGAGGAAGCACATCACTTACTTGCTATTGCACACTTTGATACCGATCAGTACTCCTTCGTTTACTACACATCTTTACATGTTCGTGCTTGTTGATTTCGTACTGTTACTAATTTTGGATTCGTGAACTGGACTGTTGATCGCTTGTGATTTGGATTTGGACTGTTTAATTGCTCTTCAAAACAACATTTGCTTTCCTTAGACTATCTTTGATTGTGTGATTGTGCAGTGCCGCTATGTCCGTGTACACCGTACAAGAATATGCTAACATGCACCTCATTTATGGGGAATGCAGATGCAACGCTAGTGCTGCAGCGAGACTTTACTGTGAGAGGTACCCGAATGCAGCTCGTCATCCAGATCATCGAGTGTTCACAAATGTGCACCACTTACTGTTCTCAGAGGGCCAACTACCAAACCAATCACACGGTGAGGGATGATCTTTCCTTCCTTACGAAGACGTGGTGCTAGGAGCTGTCGAAGAAGACCCGAATACTTCAGTGCGTGCAATATAACTAAAAACAGGTGTGCCCAAAAGTACATCTTGCAAAAAACGTGCTCCATCCATACCACGTACAGCGTGTTCAAGCTCTTCTGCCCCGGGATACTGAGCCCCGAGTTGCTTTTTGTCGCACAATGTTAGAAAGACACAGGGAAGATCCACGGTTCTTTGAAAAAAATTTATGGTCAGATGAGACCACATTTAAGAAAGATGGGTACATGAACCTGCATAACTTACAGGAGCGGCACGTAGCAAACCCACATTTGATGAGAGAAGATAAATCTCAATATCGCTTCAAGATAAACCATTGGACAGAAATTTTAAATGGTAAAATAAATCGGTCCGTTTAAGTTCCCAGAGACTTTGACTGCTGAGGTTTATTTAGGTTTTTTGCAAAATCATTTAGAAAATTTATTGGAGGACGTGCCACTGAGTATTTACTGGGACATGTGGTTTCAGCATGATGGCTGCCCAGCGCACTATGCACTCTCAGTGAGAGAGTATCTCGATCAAAACTATCCAGGCAGATGGATAGGGCGGTCTGGTACAATACCGTGGCCAGCCCGGTCACCAGATTTGAATCCGTTAGATTTTTTTACTGGGGAACTGTAAAAGAAAATGTGTATTTCAAGCCGATTCAAAATGTAGCTGAGCTACGGCAAAGACTATTCGAAGCAGCTGAGTTTGTTAATAACCGTGGATTCGCTCGTTTAATAACCCGATCTTTTTTAAGAAGATGTCGAGCGTGTATTGCGGCTGAAGGAAAACAGTTTGAGCATTTGCTGTAAAGGTAAATCATCATCAGCAGCATTTTGACGCCCACTGTTGTGCAAACAGTTATCCTTAAGGGTCCTTGTGCATTTTCATAATCGCTGTTTAATTAGGAAATTTTGAAAAATTTTCATCACTTTTTCTTCAAATAAAAATTGTGCATAAGTTAACGAGTAATCTTCTAAGTGTTATACCATTTTGGAATCCTTATTAAATGCGCCAACTTTCAAGGTTACTTGCCAAACTCTCGTAGTACATTTTTTTCCAGTACAGCCAGTTAAAGTTGAGCAAAGTTTTACTTTGGAATACTTGGTTGGGAAATAAGTAGCAATTTTTCCTGAACGAGAAAAGCTGGCAGTAAGGTTGAGACACCAGTTTGAAGATGCATTATTAATCATTACATTGTAAAAATAAAATCCAAAAAAAGTTAATATTTGTAGTAACAGGAGTTGACAGACTGCCGTAGGGTGTGAAATTTCTATATTTTTTTCAAAGACCTATAATTTTCAAAACACGTACATAAAATTTTTTTAAATATTTTTCTGATAGCTGTTATGACTTTGCCTATCACCCGGTTTCGGCTTGACGTCAACTTCTGGGACACCCTGTATATGATTTGAATTCTTTCCAGCAGAGAGAAAATGCATCCACTGCTAAGATTTGTGGGTCGGGATGGCATGACACAATTTTTTTACACTTGTTGTTAATGTTTGAAGCAAATAAGTCTATTTATGGCATTCCCAACCTGCTTGTAATTATTTTGTAAGCTGTTTTATCTAGGCTATACTCAGTGTCGATATTTTTTATTCTCGACCAATTGTCTGCCATGTGATTGCCTTTGGAGTTGATATAGCTAGCAAATATGAATATAGCTCTCTCCTCACACCACTTCCATATCTTAGTAGACAAGTCACTTAGATTTTTATATTTTGCACCCCCCATCCGACTCATGTATGATGCTGTCGTTTTGTTATCGACCCTGAGCAAAATATAACAGTTGCGATGCTCCTTCGCAAAGGAGTGTAAGCCAAAAAAGGCCGCCTTAAGCTCCGGGATGTTTATGTGTTCTTTACATTCTGTAGTTTGCCAGAAACCATTAGTTGCTCGGTTATCATAGACAGCCCCCCACCCTAGCTTTGAGGCATCCGTAAAAATATGCATATCAAATTCTAGTGATTTGAAAGATTTCACGGCCCTATCGATGTTATTTAGCCACCATAAAAAATCTTCCTTTAAATGGTGTGGTATTTTCATGGCCATGTTATAGTTTTGATTGTCATGCCTTAAAGCTAGGTATTTGGCTCTTTCCATGTTTTTTGTGTATAGCCAACAGTATGTCACTGCTGAGCAAACCGATACCAGATAACCTATAATTCTTGAAAACTCCCTAATTCTAATCTTGCGTTTTAAATTAATGTGTGTAATAAGTTGCTTTACTTTAAATTTCTTCCTTTCTGGAATACCCATTACCATTGTGTTTGTATCGAAGGCGAACCCAAGGAAGTCTGCTTTTTGTGATGGCCGGAGGCAACTTTTTTGATAATTTATGATAAAACCCAGTCAATAATTCGCAGGTTTTTTCGATATTAGTGCGACACTGCTGTTCAGTCTTACTTATTAATGGGATATCATCTAGGTATGCAACTGACATTAGTCCATTACTACGTAATTTCGAGAGTACTGGCTTGAGAATTTTAGTGAAAACAAAAGGGGCCATTGAAAGTCCAAACGGCAAGCATTGAAACTCAAAAGTATGTCCTTGATATTCAAATCTCAAGTATCGTTTATGGGTTTCATGAATTGGTATTAAATAATAAGCATCTTTGAGGTCGACGGAGGCTAAATAATTATTTTTAGAAACTAAATTCCTCACACTTCTGGAATCTTCAAGTTTAAAGTTTGGGGCACTAACGAATGTGTTTCAGTGTTTTAAATTAAGAATGAATCTATACCCCCCACTGGATTTTATCCTCAAAAAATAGGATGATAGAAATTGATTTTTTGAAGGCTTGACCTGATTTATAGCAACAATTTTTTGCAATTGAAATATGCACTTAGTGCATTGGTGTTGTTTCTCCAAATATTTGATTTCAACGTTCGGCTTGCGATACTGGTGAGGAGGTTTGCAGAAAGGTATTTTGACTTCGCGAACCCACTGTAAAACTGTTTCGTTTTTTGCGAGTCTTCGCCATATTGGTATGAAGTCACCTATACGACCAGCATATTTTACCTCTAGCGGAGTTTCTTTGTTCTGTCCTCTCTTCTGTAATCCCTGGTACCTTTCTTTGAGTAATCGTCGGTCCTTGGTTGTCTGCTCTTCGCCTGTTTGTTCAACCAGGTTGTCTTCCACCGTTTCTTGGTTGTGCCGATCCTCCAGTTTTTTGACGTAGCAGGTTGAGTAGCACGCATATCCTTGATAGTGTTTTCTAGCGTCTTCGCCAGCTTGCTGTTTTCGGCAAAATCTTCTCCGAACAGAAGGGTGTCAATTCTTTGATTTGATGCAATCTTTTGGATCTTGCTGTTAAAATGGCGATTGTAATTCAATTTTGGATGTTTCGATAGTTCATAATGAATTGAACACAGCAACTGGCCTGCCTCTATCAGTTTTATGAGATGAGAGGGGGTTTCATCTTGCGTTTCTTTGCTCATTGTGTCTGTTATTATAGCACGGAGGATTCCAATGCTTTTCCCCAAGTTGGCTTGAAGATCATGTAGAAAAGAATCCTTCTTTAATTCAATAGGCGAGAGCATTGCCTGGACCTCAAGATTGAGCTTAGGGCCCTGTAGCATCAAGCAGTTCCCAGAAATAGGAGATGATTCTAGGAGCTTCTTCCAAGCTCCTTTCTCTAGCCCTTGGCATAAATAGTTGTTCCAACGAATAGCAAGTTCATTGGAAATGTCTGGTCCCACATCGTTCGATATGGTGGGGTCATCTCCCAGTATGCCAGTAGCATTCACCTCTTTCTTGGCTTCATCGATGTCGGACGATGATGATGAAGGGCAAGACTTACTGACCTCTGTATCGAATTCCGAACCTATGGCAGAAAGACATTCTCATGTAGGCTTAACTGCGCAGTCATTCACGAAGTGAACGTATTGTCAGAACCATGTAATTTCCTTCCCACTAAGAGTCACTCAGCTTGCATGAGTCGAAGACTATACGGGATTATAGTGATGAGATATTGTGTGGCTCACGGAGTGAACGAATCCCTGCTGAAAAATATCCCTCGAAGAGGGATAATTGACCATATCATAGTGGAATGTACTTACTAGAAGAGTACAACTTCATTGAACGTTCCAGCTTCCTCATCTTTTTCTTTAACGTCTCAAACTCTTCCTTCTGCAATTTACGTTTACGGCTCATTGTTGCACGATATTGTGGTGATGTTGGTGATTTTTTTGCTGGTATCTTTTTGGCAACACAGTTTTTGACAGCTGACGCGTGAATCGTGTCTTGTGTCATTGTCAAACTTGTTCAGTTTGGTCTATAATTTAACCATGAATCGACTTACGAACGAGCAAAGCTTGCAAATTATTGAATTTTACTATCAAAATTCATGCTCGGTTAAGAGAGTGCATCGAGCACTGCTTCCAATTTATGGGCAATTTGGTCGGCCCACTGAGGGAGCTATTCGGAAGCTTGTGACTAAATTTCGAACCCAGTTTACATTATTGGACATTAAACCACCAACACGCAAACGTCGAGTGAGGACTGAAGAAAATATTGCGGCTGTATCCGCCAGTGTTAGTGATGACCGTGAAATGTCGATTCGCCGCCGTTCGCAGCAATTGGGCCTCTGTTACTCCACTACGTGGAAAATTTTACGACAGGATTTGGGTGTAAAACCTTATAGGATACAGCTGGTGCAAGAATTGAAGCCACATGACCTCCCACAACGTTTCCAGTTTAGTGAATGGGCGCTGGCAAAGTTGGAGGAAGATCCACATTTTTATCGAAAAATTGTGTTCAGTACGAAGCTCATTTCTGGTTGAATGGGTACGTTAACAAAATTGCCGCATTTGGAGTGAAGACCAGCCAGAAGCATTGCAAGAGCTACCAATGCATCCCGAAAAAATCACTGTTTGGTGTGGATTATCGGCCGGTTGTATCATCGGGCCGTACTTCTTCAAATATGATAACAAACTTTCGTTTGCCCAAAATGGAAGAACTGGACTTGGCTGACATGTGGTTTCAACAAGACGGTGCCACATGCCACACCGCACACGAAACAATGGCCCTACTGAGAGGCGAGTTCGGTGAACAGTTTATCTCACGTTTGGGGCCCGTCAATTGGCCGCCTAGATCGTGTGATTTGACGCCGTTGGACTATTTCTTGTGGGGCCATGTTAATGCTAATGTCTACAGGGATAAACCAGCAACGATTGACGCACTGGAAGCCAATATTGAAGCATTTATTCGTGAGATACCGGCCGATATGTTGGAGAGAGTGTGCCAAAATTGGACCTTGCGCATGGGCCATCTAAAGCGGAGCCGCGGCCAACATTTACATGAAATAATTATTAAACATTAAATTATATCGACCGTTCTATCGACTCAAATAAAGATTTAATCTTTTTTTAAAATTTTTTGTGTTTTTTTTTTAAATCAAATCCTATACCTCTTAAAAAATCACCCGTTACATAGTGGTTCTATTTGGATGTGACCAATTGAAGTATAATTTAATATTTTTTTCTTTTTTGTTTCAGATGTAGGTTGTGCAAAAAAGCCTTCTCCGACAGCAGCACCCTAACGAAACACCTCCGGATACACAGCGGCGAGAAACCGTACGAGTGCAAACTGTGCCTGTTGCGATTCAGCCAAAGTGGAAACCTGAACAGGCACATGCGCGTCCATGGCAGCACGGGGACAGCAACCGTCTCCAGTGCATTGGGGGTGGGCATTCCGCCATGACAGCGACTTTTCTTCTAGGCTCATCACATCATAATCATAGATACATCACGCTGTGTACCATTCAGTCAAAGCGGAAACCTGAAAGGGAGGCACATGAGCGTCCATGAAAGCGCAAGGATAGCGGCCGCCTCAGGCGCAATGGGGGCAGGCATTTCACCGTGACAGCGACTATTTTTACAGGCACACAAAATGGCTGACAACAACCTACCGGTACGCAGCGGTCGATAATGTTACGTTGAGTGCAGGGCAAATCAAAAATAGTATCGGTTAAATCATACAATGAGGATCTAGAAGTCCTACCAAACCTAGTTTACTGATGAAATGTTGAACACGATGTAACTCTAATCACTTGATACTTGGATAAAAGCTTCCTGGTCGATTCAAAGTTATGGGCGGTATTCTCGTTGTTCAAAACCTATGGTGTTTTCAAAACGCTAAGCAACCATGACATCTGTCACTTGTTCAAAGCAATACAATGGAAAAGGGGAGTCAAGGGTACTTATTCATACTTCATGATGATAATATCGCTATATAGGCTAGTAGCTCTATCAAAAATGGAAAATTTTGGAATTCGCTCAGCTCGCAAGATGGTGAACTCTAAAGTTTAGTTCAATATAACTATATGGAAATTATATTTTATTGATTTGTCTCGTTCTGAAGTAGCCTTTGTAGCGCTCTGACACTGGATGTTCAATTTCCAAGAATACCTTATATTACAATAATTTGTATTATTTTTTCTGGTTCAATTTATCATATCCATAGTTGGTTTCGGTGTCATTTCAAAAATGAGTCTAGTGAAAATGAGTGATCTTACCACATTTGCATTTGAGGCAAATATGGGGTTGTCCAAAACGGACGCAGGAAAGTAAACGCATATTAAAACAAGAAAGATTGATATTCAAATCAAGTTGGGTACTTTATTTTGAAGGTTCATTTATACCATTTATGTATGAAAAATAATATCGCTCAAATGTTCACCACGACTGGATTTACAGACGTCCACGCGATGGTCGAAATTTCCAATGACATTTTGCAACATGGTCGGTTCTATGGCATTTATCTCGGCAATGATGTTGTTTTTGAGTTATTGGAGGGTGGCTGGTTTGTTGACGTAGACTTTGCTTTTCAAATATCCCCATAAAAAGAAGTCTAAGGGAGTCAAATCGCACGATCTTGTTGGCCATGGCACATTTCCTCTGCGCGAAATCACGCGATCACCGAAGAAGGACTGCAATCGATGGATATTGACGTTGGTTGTGTGGAATGTTGCTCCGTCTTGTTGGAAATAAACATCGTCCATATCCATTCCTTCAAGTTGCGGCAAAAAATAGTCCTCTATCATCACGTGATACCGCTCAGAATTGACGGTAACGGCGTCCCCGGCCGCATTTTCGAAAAAGTAAGGTCCGATGATGCCTTTTGACCACAATGCACACCACACAGTCAATTTTTGAGGATGCATCGGCTGCTCTTGATACTCACGGGGATTTTCGTTCGCCCAGATGCGGCAGTTTTGCTTGTTTACCGTCCCATTCAAAGTGAAATGCGCTTCGTCGCTGAACATAATTTTTGATGAAAAATTGGCATCAGTTTGGCGGTGTTCAAGGAGCCAATCTGAGAACGTTCGGCGCGAAAAATGGTCGGCCCGACGCAGCTCTTGCGTCAATTGGATCTTGTAGGCGTGTACATTCAAATCCTTGTGGAGAATGCGGAGCAAACTGGTTCTCGAAATGCCCAATTCTTGGGATCGACGCGTTGTTGATTGTTTCGGATCGTCTCTCACACTCTCCTTCACAACAGCAATATTTTCCGGTGTGCGAACGCTCCTTGGCCGGCCAGAGCCTGGCAGATTTGCCACAGAACCTGTTGCCTCGAATTTACGCACCAGACGACCGATGGTTGTTTCGTTTGGGCGGTTGTTGCGACCGAAATGTTCACGAAGCGCGCGAAACGTGTTTTTTATTTTTGCACCATTTTTGTAGTGCTCTTGAATAACTTTAATGCGGTCTTCAATCGAATACGACTCCATAGCGATCAATGGTAAACATTCAACTAACAAAATGATATGTCGGTGACAGAAAACAAAGATGGCGTCTATGTCAAATTGACGTTTACTTTCCTGCGTCCCTATTGGACAACCCTTTATTATTCGGATAAACTTATACACTCATTACGCAAACTTAAAACCCCTATACTTAATACTAAAATGCATATTTAAAAGTGTAATGTAATTTCAAGAACATAATTTAACTACAAAGAAATAGGACAGAAATGCAAATGTACTTTGAAGAAAACACGCTTCAACTTTAGTGTCTACAGTTCGACACCATGCATGGAAAGATGTGAAGTACTGTGCATAGCTTTTTGGTTCGTGAGGAAAACGGGCAGGACTGTTCTAGTTCATGAACAATTTTTCTCCATTTAGTCAGTTATAGGAATCGAGGCGTTTTTTCGATCGTGCGTTATTCCATTCCGGTCCTTCAAAAGTCTATTTCGAGCATTGGGGCTGAGGATTAATCCAAGTAATTAGACGGTTGTCTCAATGACTACTAAAGCATGCATAAATTGATACGATGTTACTTTTCGAAATGTGACTCGCAAAATGATTTTATTCGTACCTGAAAATCACCTGATTTTATGGGATTTTTGTTTCAACGCTATTTTTCACCCATAAGCTGAAATTGGTTCATTCACCTAGAGTTTGAATATGCATAAATAGAGAACAAACAGGGTACACGCAACACTAAGTAATGCTTTAAATGATACCGTATCAGTATATTCTAAGAGACTCAGCGGAAATATTAGTATCCTAGAAGACAAAAAAAAAATCAACTTCAATATATCGCTGAAGACTCTAACATCAGTAGACAAACATTTGTTGTATTGGGTATTTAAAAGACCGCCTTGGCGGGTTCTAAAACGTCAAAGGATCCAACATCATATTTACTCACTTTGCCGTTCCCATACGTCACTGCGAAGCATTTAGCCTGAACTCTGCTCTGTCCATTTTTCATAATTTTACAGGAGAGCAAACAGATTTGCGAACTTGACTTGTTTTTGCAACGTTTGAGAAATCAACCAACCACCAATGCATTTATAAATTGCTTATTCGTCTCGTTTTTGTACAGCCCGATAGATAATTTTAAACTGGGTGAAAACATGATGTTAACTAAATTTGCCTAAAAAATGGACTTGGCTGGTTCTTGCATTGGACCCTTAAATTGGAAAAAATGTTTGTGCTTCACATATTGATGTAATCATAAATGCAACTTAATGTCGTTCCGTTGTTAAGTAAAAATAATCACTGGCGTGCATGACAGCCGAGATAGCCCATACGTTTCGAACGCCAAGTACGAGTGAGTAGCTCAACGGCCATTTTATCGTTAATTTAGCCTCCACCATTGCAACACTGTAAAGCGTAGTGGGATTACAGATGCATTTTTTGTGGGGTGCAAGTTCATAGGAAGGAGGAAACACATGAATCCAAACTATATTTTAGATTACTTATTACTACTATCACACTACATTCCCTACGCTGTACAATATGTTTCAAACATATAAATAAATTATGAATGTGGTTGTGTAACAATAAAGCTCTATGTATGACGAATAAGATACATGAATATTCAAGATATTGTTAGATTGTACTTCGAAAAAAAATATGTTTATTCCTTTAAGAGCCCTTTGGCAAAGAAGCAATGGAACAATATCTTAAAAAATACAACGATGTTAGCTATCGAAAATATTGTTAAATACCAAAGAAAATTTTAAGTACTGTACCTAGTCATTTTTGTATATACCAAGATCTCACACAATACGTGTTAATTTTTATAATAAAGCATAAACATGTAATTACGAGTGTTTCTTTTATACATATCACTAGGGATCTTGCTAACTAGAATCCTTTGGATCAATGAACATCAAAGATATGAAAAAAGTGCTTTTTATAGTATATGGATATAATCGATATTGTCTCAATAGCTTAGACGCACTCATCTTAGATCTCATCAGGCTTTATCTTTTAATCCACCTAAGGAAATCAACTACTCATGTTCGATGTGTTTGCCTGATAAACTTACCAAGTTAACTTCATCTGAATATATCCTTTAATCCATCCGATGACATCGACAACTATCGTTCAAAGTGTATGCCAAATAAACTTACGAACTATAACATTTAATCCAAACGATAACATCGAGTACTCTCGTTCCAGATGTTTTCCAGATAAAATGTTCATTTGACCAATTATACAGCGACACAAAAGACCCAAAACGGCTCCGTATTTTCTCGGGTAACGTATTTTTGGTAAAATCAGAGGTCAGATCTTCAGTAACTTTCAACAAGGAATTTAACGGTGACCTTGAATTAAAGTCCAAGGTCAGGATGACTACTAAATATCAAATGAATATCAAATGTGTACTGCTAGGAAAACTTCTATAAATCTTACAGGATTATTGATGAAAATAACTATCAAGGTCAGGTCTGTAGTAAATTTTGACAAGAGATCTTGGATTTAGCCTTAAGCTTCACCAAGTTCATTTCCAGGTTATTTTTATTTGAAATAGAAGCCTGCAGGAACAGTATCGGTTAAAAGTTATTTTATTTTTAACAATCACCGTAGTTAAAACCTACCCAAAGGTCTGACCTTGCCAGTTTTTTTTTGTCACTATCCATGTAAGCTTTCTATATACTTTCCTAGCAGCACACATTTGGCCCTTATGTGACCTCTAGTGGTCACCTTTACCTTGAGTTCTAATACACATTTGAACATAAAATGTCCCTCTCTAGATTGTCGGAATCAAATAGGCGTTTCTATTTGGAAAAATAGAGATGATCTTGAAATGACCTTGATGGTGTTCAAGGTGAAATAAAAGAACACTGCTTCTTGTAAAAATTTACTAAAGACCTGACTGTACCAGTTATTTTCGTCACGATCTCTGTGAGATTTTTACTGGCTTTCCTAGCAGTACATATTTGACCTTTATTGGCGGATTTGACCTTCAGCGGTCAATTTGATCTAGAATTTTAATACCAATCCGAATCTAACATTTCCCGTTGTTTGGATTGCCGGCATCAAAAATAGGAGCAAAGTTGAAATTGGGTGAGTTTTAACGAGGGAACTACGGTGCTCGTTAAAAACTTTTAACCGATAGTAGTCCTGCGGGTTTCTATTTGAAAAAAAAACGACCTTAAAGGTGATGTTCAAGGTCAAATCTAAGATCACTCAACAAAATTTACTACAGAACTGGTCTTGATAGTTATTTTCATCAATAATCACCATTCACTCCCTCGTTAAAATTTACTAAAGACCTGAACAAGATGAAAAAAAAGGACTTATTTTATTTCATTACACAAATATTCAAGATACAAACCAGTCAGTTACATATCGGCCACCCTGTAGTTTATCGTGTATGAAGTGCATTGTTGTGAGATATTGGAGACAAAAGTTACAGGGTGTTCAATTGTCGAGCTTCATTTCAAGCATCTCAATAATGCAGTACTGTTACCTCCAATTTCCTGAAATGGCTTCACCAGAGCATATCCGTAATGCCGCTGCACAGCATCGATCACGTCCGCTTTTGGCATTGGCCTGATGAACTTGCCAAGCTATTTTTACCAGACTATATCCGTTAATTCGCTCCACAGTTTAGACGACAGACCTCTTTCCGTCAGGTGAAACTGACTTCCCAGTTTCAGTTGGCACGCGCATTGAACGGGACTAGTCCAGTAAAATTACTTTCGCAAGTGTTTGTGAGGAGTCCCCCGACGCCAATAGAATTGGTTGAAAAATCACAAAAGTCTGTTCTTAGCTTACCTCTTTTGCTACCGCTATTGAACTCGCCAAAATGTTGAAAATAAAATATATTTTTTGGATCTTACCTATCAAAAAAATGCCACTCAGTTCAGTTCACCGATTTATCTGATGGTATGTCCGTTGGTCTTGACAGTGACCGCTATATAACTTACCGCGATATTTCTTAGAAATTCTGACACAATGTTACTACTATGACAAAGACGAAAAGACTGTAGTTTTTAAAGATCAAGTCCGTGTCAGTAGAGCTGAGGGAGAAAACGGAAAATCAAATTCTGCTCAAACTTTTTCAAAGTTGCAAAGTGTCCTGCCCGTTTAAAGAATGTGGGATTGATAATTGGGGTTGGGGGGTTATGGGGTTGGTGAGGTCTCTATCTCATTTTTTTGGTGGTAGTACATCAGACCTGGCTGCCCATATAAATATTTCTCAGGGGAGCTAATTAGACGTTGGCAAGAGAAAACTTTTTGTATACCATTTTTTTGAAAAGTTGAGTATAGCAAATTTTCTCATAGAGAGCCAAATTATAAATCTTGAATATGACACGTAAAACTATACTAGGTATTTAGATTCCCAGGGACGTAGACCTGGGGCCAGGGACTTACTGTAAGGGTCTGTTTGACTGACATGATTCATTGAATTCCTTGGTGACACATGTTTGTAGTTAACTTCTTTTCTGAGGGGCCTAACTTATGCAGAGCTTAATCTTTTATAACTTATGTCAGCGCTGCGTAAGAAATGGGTCAATCTACTTGATACCATTCCGCCGCTACTGACGTAACCACTGTAGCAAATTGAACATGGGTCTTCTCTTAAGGGTCTTTTCGTCATCTACAACATTTCTCCGAAGTGTTGTCACCAATAAATACTCCATAGTATTTTTAATGTACCGAATAAGTGATTTTTTTACTTTTCCATTTGCCCAGATAATTTGTTTGTGATAGATGTCTATTTTCACTCACCTTCAAGAATATAGCTAATATCCGTTGAAACCGGGTGGTCGATATGTAATTGACTGGTTTGTATCTTGAATATTTATGAAATGAAATGAAATACGTTCATTTTTTGTGTTAATCTTTTATTGAAACTTAGAAATTAGGTATGAAAAATAATATCAGACAGATGTCCGCCTCCAGAAGCCGCGCAAGCCTGAGCCCTCTTGATTACATTTTCCATCACTTTTTCGTAGGTTTCGGGCGGAATATTTTCAATTGCTTCCGTAATATTGTTCTTCAGCTAATCTACAGTATTTGGTTTGCTGGCATAAACCCTATTTTTGCAAAATCCCCATAAAAAAGTCAGGAGCCGTTAAATCCGATGACGTTGGTAGCCAGTTGACATCACCAAATCGAGAAATTAAACGTCCCGGAAATACTGTTTGTAAAAGACTCATTGCTTCCTTAGCTGTGTGAGGAGTTGATCCGTCCTGCTGGAACCACATGTTTTGCTGGTTAAATTGTTGGATTTGAGGAGCCAGAAAGTTTTGCACCATATTACAGTAGCGCTCGCGTGACAGTAAGAGAATTACCTGCAGCGTCTTCAAAGAAGTCAGCTCCAATGACACCTCCATACCAAACACAGCACCAAACTGTGATTCGATGAGGATGTAGTGGTCGTTGATGGATGACACGGGGGTTCTCTAATGCCCAGATATGACAATTCTGCTTATTAACAAATCCGTTCATATAGAAGTGAGCTTCATCACTCATTATCAATTGTCGGTAACAATCGTTATTTTAGGTATTAAGCTGCAATATTGCATGACTGTATTGTCGGCGACTACCCTCTAGTTCTTGGGTTACCTGAATTTTGTATGTCCGCAAATGCAAGTCTTTTTTGAAAATAGTGTATAATGACGTATAACGAATACCCAGTTCTTGAGAACGATGTCTGGTAGACGTCTCAGGGCACTCCACTACACTTTCACGAACTCTCTCAATATTTTCCGGAGATATTTAACGATATTATGACAGAGTGATTGTCTTAACATATCCACGACTATGTTCGGTTAGTTCCAGCGTAATGTATAACTTTTGGAAACTCTCTTTCTCATCTGGCAAAATTAATTAGTATGTTTCTTGTATCTGCATGCACAGCTTAATTGATTAAGGGTGAATAGTCATTAGATGATTTGCTGAAATCGCATATACTACCAGTGCATTCTCCAGTAGTGCATAAACTGAACAAACGATCGCGGGCTTGTTTGTCAACATTGTTATATTGCACTTTAACTAGAACTAAACTCATCTTGTGCTACATAGAATTCGCGATAAGAACACAGAAAATATAACTTTTAGCATGATAACGCATAGAGAAAGTAAACTAACAATCTTTTTCAGATTAATCACAGTTTGCAGAAGATTTAACATAAGACAAATATCAGTGGAAGGATGAGAGCATAGTAAATCTCCCATAGAGTAAAGTGTATATAAGACGATGTGAGATGATAAAGCCTACCAGTTTTTAATGGGTGTTACAGAAAGCAGTGTTGTTTTCAATTAACTTGCTTCTGCATCGTACAGAAACAAAGATGGGTTTACGAGAGCCTGATTCTGGGACACCTATGCTAATGCGGATGCCCTCTAGGTCCACACAGCAAATGCATCAGTATTTGGCTGCAACTTCAGGTGAGCCGAATCTAAATACACTCTCCGTGACTGCTTTCATGAAGTCCTCAAAACTGAGCTCAAAATATTCACCATCGACCGAGTTATCGAGATATGGTTACCAATTAGTGTATTCAAATGTGTTTATAACAATTCGGTATTGCGAAACGAGGAATCTAACTCTGAGGCTTTAGGTTGCGACTGCAACAATGAAAATGTGGGTAACGCGTTCAGGGCCTGTTTCCGCTTGTATACTCTAGAAAAACAATGTCAGTTTCAGAAAGACATGGTCACGAATCTCAAATCACAAATAGTGATCACAGAACCGCCTTCGAGGAGGCATCCATTACTATCCCCTTGGATTTTCTCATCCCTGAATTCTTCGCTTTTCGCGAATACAGATGTTGCTTCTATTAAGAAGTATGGCGGTGCAACGGTATATCAAGAAAATACTGAAATTTCATTTTTAGTCATTTCTCCAAACGTATCAAACCCCTATTTTCTAATAAGATAATGTCCGTCTCCAAATTGTTGTATTCAATGGGCGAAACGTCTCAGGATCTAGGAGATCAAGGAAGAAGAGTTATCGAGGTAGTCTATTGTAGCTCTGTGAGATATGATAGGAAGAAGAGCGATCTCCTCATATTATCCTCCACCAACGTTGCAGCTCATTGGAATCAAGTACTGTTAGCTTGAGATGAGATACCTCAAGAAGACATAAATCCAGCATCAAGAAAATATTTTCAAATTGAATTTGAAATTACCTGCTCAAAAAGGTGCTGGCGGGGCGCGGCGTCTGCTGCAACAAAGCTTGTTAGAGCGATTCCCTTGTGACACTAAGAGAGCGAAGGGGATCATATATTCAACATTGAAGAGCAGGGAGGGTATCGGCGATTGAAAAGAAAATTAAAGAGAGGGCAGAGGTTCTGCGAATTGAAAAGCACGTTCGAATTTTTGTGGATCCCTAGGACACCCCCTTGGATTCGCCACTGATCAAGGTGGCTCAACACATTATTTGCGAAATGTAGCGATACCATAAATGTTTTCACTTCAACATTTCCTCGTGCTTATCTAATTCTATACGAAATTTCATTCAAATAAAATCATATTTGCTGGGTATAATTTCAGAGCAAAACTAATAATGACTTTATTCCTCGTAGATACATATCATTAATACTTGGTTTTTTAGTTTTATATGAAGCTGACACTGTATTCAAAAGCTTGATCTATCTTGTCTTAATCGTTTAAGATGGTTGGAATCCCAGTTTCAACTATCTCATTGTATGTTATATTTATAAGATATCAAAATATTACCGGCTTACAAATTCTAAGGATTATTATTTTTCTTTAACAGCTTCTCGATGTTTTGCTGATTTTTTAAGTAAGAACCGGTTTGTAATGGAGTCATATGTATGTAAATTGTATCACAAGCTAAAATATAAGCATTATTTGTCAAATCATGGCACCAGCTTTTAGTTCACTTCGTCAGAAAATGTGGCTTGGCTGATCGTGCTATCATTTTCCAAGCTTTACCACCAAGAAGTTCAATAAGGTTTGGGCTGTTTGGTGATCCAGTAAACCGCAACGAACCTTGTCCCGTTGTGTATGTACTCATGCCACAACAGGAGGCCAAGGCTCCGCCGTCAGTTTTGGAGAGCAGAATGGCGCGTCTGATCCAAGAAGTTGTGGATGAATTTTAGTAGGAGAAACTTTTTTGCGTTTAAAAACCGAATTACTGAGTGCACTCTACATTCGACAAGTTTTCTGATTGTCATGGTTATAAACAGAGCAGTATAACCTCACAAATAACACCGACGGTTACGTGAAACGTTATGGCGGCGTAGTGAGAGGTTGGCCAAGAGTGTCTGAGGTTGAACGGACGTTACATGACAGGATGCGCGGGCACGATGCGTAATCGGTTCTTACTTAATAGCCCTTGCATGATTCTAATAACCTGTCATTTTTTAATGTATTTTTGTTTTTTAATTCATATTTGGATTGTTCCTTTCAAAGGAAGAACATTATTAGGAAATTCCTCTGAAAAAAACACCAAAACTCGGTAGTGTATATCTTCGCCGTTTTTATATAAAGGGTGGCTCAATAAGAGCGCCGGATTTGATTTTCAAGAAAAACACAATTTCTTTTCGAATTAAGCGAGTATTTATATTTCAATATGAAGAGGACTAGTCGCGATTAAACATGAAATAGCACATCCGGTAAATGGCCACCACGAAATCTCTTTCACATTGTCAGTCTTTTCTTAAGATTCTGGATAACGGTTTCGCACAACTGTGGCTCTATTTCGACGCCGTATCTCTTCTTTAAGGCGTTCAACTGTTTGTGGCTTCTTCGCGTACACCTTTTCCTTCACATAGCCCCAGAGGAAGAAGTCAATTGGCGTCAGAACGCACGATCGTGGTGACCAATTTTGATCGCTACACCGAGGGATGACACGGCCTGGAAACTTGGTCCGCAGTTACACCATTGTTTCGCATGCTGTGTGGCAGGTCGCAGCGTCTTGTTGGAAGAAGTTATGCTTTACATCAATTCGATCGAACTGGGGCCACAAAAACTCGGTTAACATTTCGCGATACCGCACACCATGAACAGTTACCGCATTTCCAGCTGCATTTTCGGAGAAATACGGTCCAATCACTCTGCCACTCCACAATGCGCACCTAACGGTAACTCGCGGCGGGTGCATTGGTTGTTCGATTATCACACCAGAATATCAAATTCGGTAGTCCTGCTTATTGACGTATAGTACCGTACCCGATCAGTTGAAAATGTGCCTCATCAGAGAAAATAATTTTCTTCGAGAAATCCGCATCAATTTGGTGGCGCCCAATCAACGAATTCACGGCAGTGCGCATGGTCCGTTGGCTTGAGTTCTTGCGTCAGTTGAACCTTGTACGCATGCAAGCACATATCTTTTTTCAAAATTCGTTACAGAGTGGGTCTGGTAAGGTTCAATTCTTGGCCATGTTGCCGAATGGAAATACCTGGATTCTCGGCCACACTTTCCCGCACTGCGAGTATATTTTCGAGGGACCGACCAGGTCGACGACGAACAGTGGTCTTCACATTCAGCAAGGTGAATTTGGTTCAAATCTTGTAACTAAACGGCGAACTATCGACTCATTTGGCGCATTAGTTCGACCAAAAATTGTACGTAATTTGCGAACTATTTCCGCTTAATTTTCCCCATTTTTGTAATGAGTTTTCACAATAATTAAACTTTGCTCGTTTGAAAACTGCTCCAAGAAGTCTAATCGCGTGGTCTGAACATGACAGCTGTCATCAAGTAAGCACCATACCATTTGTACAAAAAAATGGCGACAAATTCAGATCCGGCGCTCTTGTTGAGACATCCTTTATGTATGAAGTCCTGAATTTTACTTGATAGCTTTTACATGGTTTTAACATAATTTATCGAAATGTATATTTATTGCAAAATTCAAGTGGGACGCGCTATCTCGTATTTTTGCGTTTTCAGATTTCAGATCTATAATTGAATTATGCCTGTATATTTCTGGTTATTTTTTAATTTGTGCCACCAGGTACCATATATTATATATAATAATCGATATATACGTTTTACTCAAAAAGTTTTTGTCTAGGAGCGATGCTAACAATAGAATTAAATGGTAACTGCCATTCTCATATATATTCATGTATCTTTATGATGTTTGGCAATTTTATTACTATTATTATATATATATATATATATATATATATAATTATTATTATTATTTTAGTTTTAGCTGATAAGTATGGTATTTACGTGGGATCAGCTTTTTTTCCAACCATCCTGCATCAGCAAATTGCTTTGGAACTGTACGTGATACTTGGGGACTCACTTTTTAAATATTGAATATATTTTTTAATATACCTACCCTAGTAATTTTATATCAGTATAGGAGCAAATATTCAGAAAATGGATATAACAGACGTTGATGCTTTTCCAGATAAAATGCCTTGTCGTCATTAGGCTAGTAACTAACCACCAAAGCCCGTAAGCACGTTGTATCAATGTTTTTCTTCTAAAAGGAACAACCCAAATTTAAAACAATCAACAGAACAATCCGTTAGAAAAATGCAAATTTGATGTGTGGCTCAATAACGAGGCACCTCGTATTACTGTGACTACTTCAAAAATATACCCTGTATACCGTAATGAATTTATGATTGTCATGATAGTCAAGACTGTAATTTCAACCAGCTGCAATGAATTCAAGCGCCATTATCAAGCTCTCGCTTGATTTTTAGCCATCTCTGTTTTTACTTCCTAAGCTGGTGGACGCAAAAAAATTAGAAAACAACATATTGCATCTTTTGGATGTTACGTGACTCGCACCTCACAAAAAACCATGTCCTCATTTCCGTCGGTCTGTCGATCTGTCTGCCTGTCCGCTAATCCTTGGCCCGTCTATAGTTTCATAGGTACCGGTTGGATTGATTGATGAAATTTTCACACAATGTTACTACTATGTTAAAAAAGAAAAAGCTTTATAGTTTTTGAAAATTGATCCAGTATCGACGGAGAAAGCCAAAAAAAAAACGGAAAAAATGAAAATCGTCCAAGCTTCGTTTTTTGACGTTTCAGACGATCCTGATCATTTTTGCCACGAATCACGATTCAGGTAAAGAAGGGTAATTTTACACTGAGATACAGTGATATATACATTCTCTTGAAAAAAAAAATGACATACTCTAAATAACTTGTTTAATGTAATGATGTAATCAAATGGATGCAGGAAAATGATTGAGCGTAAAAGTAATGAAAACAAGAGAACACAGGAGTTGTTTTTCAATATCAGACAAGCGATGGTTTATCGAATGATTTTGCCTTTTTTCTCGGATTTCACAGAATTGCGCGTAACTCAAAAATGGTCCGACTTTGTACCAAGACATATATGGCTCAATGTGTCTCATCACACCTTAAAAGGTTCGTATTGATCTTCCGAGCACCCTATATTTTCAATTTCAATATGGCGGTGCGGCGCCATTTTGGAACATTG